TAGCATTCTATTTTTACGTAGATTTATATATAACTTTGGATGAAGAATCGAATGAGCATAGTGAAGAAAAAATAATTTTTGAGTGATGAGAATACAAACTTTCTGCACAATCAGCTTTGAAATTTGATCAAATCAGTACACAGCGACCGATGTCAATCGACATTTACCAAACAATTAACAACTTTGATTCAACGAGAAAAACTTGGCGTTGTTGGAGCAGAAACTATTCAATCTGAACACGGTTTATTATCTAATAAAGTGTTATTCGAGTTTTAGTTGCATATTTCCCGATATGAACGTCAATAATTTTCTATTCTAAATTTTTTTTGAAATAATTTGTTTGAAACTTTGTAATGCAAAGAAAATATGAGACAATAAAATAAATAAGACACATCTGTCTTTATTTTAAAATTGGTGCACATACACCACGATTGTTTTGCTTTATTGTCCTTTTTAGTGACTGTTCTTTTTGGTCCTTGGTCTTCCGGACATCCGGCCAAGTGACGGATGGTCGGAATCGGGTCTGTATAGCACACAATCGTTGTTTCCGGATGTTCGGAATGAACGTCGTCTGGGTGTCCGGAATGAAAAGTATGGATGTCCGTAACAGAACGAACATCCTCAAAAAAAAGGCTGAAAAGCCATGGCTCATGCCGTTGCGTACACCCGGACGACTTTCATTCCCAACATTCAGATTTTTTTCGGTTATCATTCCGAATATGCGATTTTTTTCCATTCCGATCTTCCGAACTTTTTCAGAAAAATGGCAGTTCGGAACGGATTACTCTATATGATATTATGCACCATGCAAAAATTTAGCGGAAACCTATTGTTCAATATTCATTTCTCTAAACTTTTTTTGACTTTTTTCCTTTAGGTCTTACAAGAAATATCACTGATGTCTCTAACCAGTTCTACACCAGATAAATTTGGAATTTTATTTGCTGATCTCATTGTTAAATTAAAAGATATGAAATCTGGTTTAGTTTATAATGAATTAGGTACTTGTGTTCTGTAGAACAAACTAAACGTCCGAACAATTCTTCTATGTTTTTTGATCCAGTTGCTATTAAACTTTTGTCAATAGTTACATTAGCATTTCGAGAATCAAAGTAGTATATAATTCCAGATAGTCGAGTAAGAGGAGGGGCGATTCGCGCATCAAGTTCTATACTAAACATTGACTATATTTATTTCAGGATCCAAAATGGCCGTGGCCATCAATATTGACAAGTAAAGGTGTTGTTCAATATTATAAAGTTGGACTAGATGGTATACATTTAATTGTTACACCAAATGCTGTTCTTTGGTCATCATATTTTTAACATTCAATTTCATAAATCAACCAGAAAAACCAATCAATTTTTTGATTATATTTTATATCGAAAAACATGTGTTGATATGGAAGCGGCGGTCAAGACACTAATGAAAAAATTGAAAATTGTGTAAAGAACAAGATTGTATGTTTATTCTGGATTTTTTTCTTTCTGTCTGTTGAAAATCCTATAGGATTGTTTTCATATCCAACTTTTTTTCGTTTCTCCATATTTTTAACTGATAATTATGAAAAGCACGCAAATTTTTGAAATCTTTATTTTTAGCACTCAAAGCACCAGATTTTGGTTTGCCAGCACTTTCTTCTCCAAACATCCTCCTTTTCGTTGTCAAGAAATCTTGTGTGACCTACTGTACACCTTGCTGATAATTCTCTGGAGCCAAAAAAGGGATCGAATAATTATAGTAAAATTTACAAAATTAAGAAATTCATTGCGATTTTGGTTTTCAAAGTTCCAGAAGAATTATAAGTTTGGTCGTCGTGGATCGATCGACGAAACTATGATGAAGTTCAAGGGAAGATCAAGTCTCAAACAATATTTACCTGCAAAACCGATAAAGAGAGGCTATGAAATTTGGTCTTTATGCGATTCCATTACTGGTTACTTATTCAATTGTAGCGTTTACCTCGGAAAAGAAGATGTTATTGACAACGAAACACTTTTGGGTGAACGTGTTGTTTTGACTCTTATCGGTGGTCACAATTTCGAAGGAAACATCTTTACTTCGATAACTTCTTTACTTCTCTTTCATTGTTACAGAAGTTAAAACTGCGAAGAATAAGTGCCACCGGCACTATTCGAGCCGATCGAGTTGGCATTCCGTCGCAATTTGCTTTGAAAGAGAAAATGGAACGAGGTGAACACAAATCAATCGTCACATCAAACTTTGTTATCTTCAAATGGATGGATACGAAGCATGTCTTTCTAGCGTCAAACGACTGTCAAAACACTGGGATCGTTAGAATATTTCGACGATTGAAAAATAGACAGCAAATCGCAATTGACTGTCCTAAAGCGATCAAGGACTACAACAAATTTATACGTGGTGTTGATCGACTCAATCAAAGAATATCCTGCTACCTGTTTGATCGGAAGTCTAGAAGGAATTAGCTTCGCCTTTTCATTTTCTTCTTCAATGCATCTTTAGCTAATTCATATATCTGTTACAATCAATTAGCCCAAAACAAATTATCATATTTGAATTATTTAGTTTCGGTAGCTGAATCTCTTTGTTCTGGTGCTGAGCGGGTAAATCCAGGAAGACCTCCTTCAGACAAGGCGCGTAATACACAATCACCACAGCGTGCTGCTCAACTGAATGGTCAAATGCATTTGCCTGTCATTGGAACCCGACGCAGGTGTGCTTACTGTAGCACAAAAGAAGTTCAAGTTCGATCGAATATCGAATGCTCTACTTCTAAACTGGCGTTTTGCTTAAAAGACGAAAAAACTTGTTTTTTTGAATATCACCAAGGTTTTGTGGGAACATTTTGATTGATAGTCAATAAACCGATAAAAATAATCATTTTTCTTCCAGAAAAAAATTCCGTCCCCAAAGGGTTAAATAAGGTCTCTACAAGAAAGGTAAGTTCTCTCACACAAACACACCTGATGGTAGTTAAATAAAAAATTAGAACGTTTGAGAAAGAAATATCAAGCGAAATGGATTGATAAAAAAGATGAATTAAACGCTTAATGAAAACTCACGCACGAAAGGATCAAATTAGTTTTACAGAAAAATATGCCACTTTCTGCCATTTTCCGGAAAATTTTGTATGTTTTTAGAAAACTTTCCCGATTTTTTGCACTGATGATCTTTTTGCAAAAAAATTTGGCAGAAAGTTTCCAGAATCTCGCAGAAAGCTTTAAATTTTAGGGAGGGGAAAACCTCCCTCATCCCTTCCCTAATCGTGAACCCTGCTCAAGCCTATTTTTAAAACCCCACTCGCAAGAGTATTTATGATTTTTGTGTACTTGAGCTAGGTTTGCGTGATATCGCATTTGGAACCAAAAATGGTAGTGTCATTTAAATCGCAACAGGAAGAAAACTTATCAGTTACGCAGAACGAGAACGTGTTGGAGTTAGAACAAGATCCTTTCCTGAATGAGGGTCAAGTCAAATATCTACGACACGGCTTGTCCACAAGTGACGAAGTAACGTTTTTGACGCATTAAAATTCACGTTTTTTCAACAACGAACTAAGCTAGAGACTTCGTTCTTGCGCCATTCGACGCGGCTTAAACTGCTCTGTTTCCAGTTATAAATTCAAAATTTTGAAGTAGTCAGAGGTATTTTTATAGGCCGTGACGCGGTAACGATAAAAGCCCTTTTTTACGACATCTGTTGTAAAGCTTAAAATTCCTGCGGAGTTTTTGGACTAAATGAAAATAGGCTTGAGCAGGGTTCACGATTAGGGAAGGGATGAGGGAGGTTTTCCCCTCCCTAAAATTTAAAGCTTTCTGCGAGATTCTGGAAACTTTCTGCCAAATTTTTTTGCAAAAAGATCATTATGCCCATCAAGAGTCCATTTCTGTACGACCTCTTGAGTAAACTGTTCTCGTCCATCTTGCACCACGGTCATAAGCCATTTTCCAGCTTT